TAAATTTGGTGAGGGTGACTAACTGGACCTGGAGATAATTGCCCTTCAATAACTTCCCGTGATGCCAGCAAGCACAGAATATTTTGCTGTATGTTTGTCATCTGTGATTTCTGAGAACGTACCATAAAAATAGTCTGTCATATATCAGAAAGAATAATGGCAAGGAGGAAACCCTTGCTTGGGAAAGCTAGATGCTTGTTTGTGTATAAACAAAACAATAGTTTTATGTCTCAGAGTTTTTATATTGCTACCACCAACACAGTATTTGAATGCCATCCATGCAGAAGTAATACAAAGCAACAGCAAACTCCAGCAGAGTTCGGGAAGTCTAATTTTTCTTTCAGCATCCAAGTAGAGCTGATTGAAATTTTTCCCCTGAAATACTCTTCTAATGGAAAACAGGCTACCTGTAAATTCAGAATTTACTGTTTGGTAAAATGAAAGCTTTATTTAACCTAGATTGTGCCTCCTAGCTGAGAAGCCCTGAAGTTAGGGCTTTCATGTCTTCTTGATAGACTTCGTATGTTTAATGGTAGGCTGTCCAGTTTATTGCCTCAGAGTTAGGACTTCCAAACTCTTCAGGAGCTGTAATCATTGTTTGGCTTTGTTAGTTTTCAAATTGGCCACCTCCCCTTCTGATGGGGCTACTGTGGCTGAAAATGGTTAAAACAACATTTTGTTTCTGTTGTCTCTACATGTATTTTCAGAAATCACATCCTTTACTAAATTTTGAAGTCTTTCTGTTTGTGTCTTTCATAAACGAATAATTTGGAATTTCCTGAAAACAGAAATTCGTGGGTTTGGGTAGCTCTAGTGATGTTTCTCCTTTGGAAGGTTGTCCTTTAACTGTTCGGTGTATTTCAGTTTGGTTATTATTGCTTTTAAGTAGAGGGCACTAGGTGAGGGTTTAAGGACTACTGTTAAGTCTAAATATAAAATGAAAAGTCTTTTAGTAAGAGGAGTATAGACTGGGCAGTGTTTCATGCATTATCCCAGTGAAACTCTGCTGTTTTGGTTCTTCATAAATGTAAATTGAGTCGGAGCCAGGGCCAAAACTTTGACCTAACACTGACCTCTAATACTGTGTGGATCTGAGGATAGGCCTGAGGGGCCTGTTGTTGTTAAAATAAAGAAATATTTCATTTTTTGGTGTGCAACCTGTTCTGATCATCAGTTATCTTCACAGACTATCACATGGCTCTGTGATGCTTTTTTAAAAAAGGTTTATAAATTTCATTTCTATTTGTCATGGCTCTATAGTCTGCAAAGTAGTCTTGAGACTCGGTTAGATCAGGGAATGCATTGGCAGTTACAGTCTGTGTTGCACTGTATAATGTTCTGTAAACAAACTGGGAAAGGATATTGTTAGGGAATAAAGTAAGTTAAAGGTTGAAGGGACATGGGCAGAACTTTCCCACTCAGGGTCTCTTTGTCCCTTCCTTGGGCCAACACCTGTAGGAGAATGGGTCCTAGTATATGTTTACATTGCTTTGTATGCAGATCTAAGCTGGGGTTTCCCTACGGTAAGTAGGAAGAAGCTGCAAGAGCTTGGGCTTTGCTCAGCTTTTTTGCACATCTGCTAATAAAATTGTGTGGCTTTGTACCTCTCTTGGAGCAGAGGCACGAATAAGATGGCTGCTCACCATATATAGCATATATGTGTGTATATAGATGTATGTAGTGTGTATATATGGTATCTTGCCTGCACCATCTGTGTGAACAGATCTAAGGAAATCCATGAGGGTCAGGGAAATTCAGATCTTAATAAACCTGGAAGTGAAAAGTGAGTGCATTGCATGTCACAGGAAGATGAGGTGGAGAAGAGGGCCGCTGTGGGAGAGAGGGTGTCACTGTTAGATAGTGAGGAAGTGCAGCTAAAGAGGCAAAGTAAAATCAGGGAGTGAAAGATAAGGTAGGTTGGGTAACACCAGGGCACAAGGCCATGATTAGGAGATGGACTATTTAATAAGTGAGAGTTTCAAGAGGTTAATGGCTAACTGAACAGGAAGGACATGTGTGAGCTGGAAGTTGGGTAAGGGGCATGGGAAGAGGAGAAAGCAAATAAATGCTGCAGGAGGTGGTAGGAGAGAAATGTCCTAATGAACATGGATTTTGCATAACTTATTCTTTAAGCAGAAACAGGGTCTTAGTCTTAGCTGTGTGCTTTCCCATACCTGAGCAGAAAGTCTGAGCTTTCAGAGTTAATACGGTAACAAGTTTCTGTTATAAACTTTATTCTTATTTCCCTTTCTGTCTGTCAGCAAAACTAGTTTTTACCTGAAAATTTCTAGGTCAGCTGTGACAAACAATGTTTTTGTGCTGTGTTCGTGCAAATAAACATGACAGTTGTAAACATTCTTTTGATCTTTGAATCAACGTAAAGCTATTCATAGCTTAAAGTGCTATTCCAGTGTGATTGCTGTCAGATAAAAATAATTCCCTGCTTTGTAAGACTTTCTCCTCCCCCTCCCTGCCCCCTCACCCCTGCTGCTTGGCAGCTTTAATGAAAGAAGTATTTCTTTGCGTTAGGGTATATAAAATTGTAAAAGACTTGTAGGACGACAGATAAAGTAAAAATGTTTGGTGTTGTGAGAATGCTATTTAAGATCATTAAATAGTGGAATGACTTGCATCTGTAAATGATGATGTTTGATCTTCAATCCAAGTGTTTTCAGACTGTTAGATAATTGGAGTAACGACGAGAACAGCATTAAAAGGTCAAACCAAATCCCAATTTTACTCCACAGCCTGTAACAAGCAAAGGCCAGGCCATGTTCAGGGAACGGGTGTGCTCCTCTCCACTGTGGTTCCCAGAATGGTACCTCCTCTCCAGTGCACACTGACGTGGGTGCCACTGGAACTTGGGTGTGTATAAGCTCCTGGGTGGGAGATTGCCAGGCTGTGTATGCCTTACAGATCCATTGCTGTGTGTCAAACATCATTATCAGTCTCCTATGAATTTAACTCATTTTTTAAAGGATTTTTTAAAAAATTTTTGCCTTCCTGTAAAAACATTTAAATAGAAGCGTAGAAAAGAAGTTGATCTTTGTCTTTTCTAACCTGTGAGATAGCTTCATTACCATCTTTTAGTCATTGTCTGTGGGAAAAAGAAAAAAAGATTTGTTTCTTGTGCAAATGGTGCATTATTCTGTATTGCTATTCTCTTGTCTACATATATTAATAATATTACTATTAGCTCTACCCCTTTCACTCTTTTTTTTTCTTCACTGTCCATCTATAGTCTCTTTAATAGGCACTAATTGCATAATGCTGAGCGTTGTTTCTCTTTTGTGCACCCTTTTCCAGCTATGTTGTATGCCATTTGAAGTAGGTGTTAAGAAGTTGTTTGCAGCGTTGAAGATAAATGCCTGCTTCTACTCATACTCAGTTATGGAATTTTGATCTAATTTAAAGGAAGATTTAGTTACTGTTGTGTGCTAAACAATTCCTTTAATTGTCTGGGGTCTTTGCAGTAAATACCAGAAAGAGTCAGTCCATCTGCCTGAACTAGCTGGAAAGATCACTTTAATGGATTGAAAAAATGTTCAGTGTGACACAGATTGTTCTAAAGTATCTCTCTTCACTGTGTTAACAGCAGTATGATCTCTGTGTAATTTTTAGTTGCTTATGTGTTGTCTGATTTCAAAATTATTATATAAAGAGGCAATTTGATTGGAAATGGTAGAATGTAAAGGACATCTCTCTTCCTTTTTTTTTTTTTGTCTGGTGCCAACCAAAATCTTAATTTTCAGAATGTCTGACTTATACTCGCAAAGTGTCAGATCTGAGTAGAAGGCTGATTAGGTAATTTCGCAAATCCCTTTCATGATATTTATGCCATTTCTAATAAACTTATCTGTTCCATATTTCAGTAATTACTTTCTAGAGATTCAGAGCTTTTGTAGACTTTTCAAAAGTATTGGTCATCTGTATAATGTAGCTCTTGAAAATAGCTAAGTAATAAAGTGAAACAAATATTATGTACCTGGAAATCTAGATTTAATGGCATGCATTAGTGACTGGCTTATAAGTTTAATGGACCTTAGAGATACAAGATGCATACATCTTTACATTGGCAGCTTTTATTTGCAAATAGAGTAATATTGAATTGTTCTTGATTTAAACTAGTCTTTGTTATTGGTTAAAATAAATTTTATGAAAAGGAGGGGTTGGTTGGTTTGTTTGGATTTGTTCTTTATTTCTTTTGTTTCCAGCACTTTTTGTTAAAGTATCCCAAATGTAAAATCTCTTGTGTCAAATACTCTGTTCTGCTATCTAAGCAGGTAGCTATCAGTGCAGAAATATAGATGAAAAAGCATGGTAAATGTGATGGGGTTCATAGAATAAATGTGATTTCCAGTTTTGCATATGAGAGCAATATGCTTTGAGCTTTAACAGTACATGTTTTCAAAGGATTTTAATGACAAAATTGCAAGTCTTCCAAGTACTGAAAAATCTTGTCCTTTAGTTTACTATATTGAAGCTGAAAAATCTGTTCTGTGATTTGTGCTGATTGCCACATTTGTGCTTCCGGTATTCTCGATATTCTACTTAATAATGATTTTTCAGGTAGTTATTACTTCATCAGTGCCATATTGTTTATGGATGTAAAATCATGTTAATGTTTCTCAGAAAACTCATAAGCCTGTGTCGTGTTGGTAATGCCAAATGCTTCATGTCTTAAAAATAGTATGTAAGTAGTAAGTATTTTGACTACATACAAACTACACTTTATATCTCACATGTCTTGATATCTTGCTGCTTCATTTTGTATCACTTTCCTGAGGTTTCCCTGCTCTTCAAAGAGCAGAGACCAAGTGTCAAAACTAATAGGGCACGAGTATGTTTCTCTTCCACATACAGGTGTGGTAGCTGGCCAGCGATGCTACTTCAAAAGTGTATGAAGGCAAGAGAACTGCCCAGAGAATGCAGTATGCCTCTTTTTCTATTTGCTTTCAGATGGAGATGGAGATTATCTAACTCTCTCTCATTCTTCACAGGGTTACACATCATTCTGGAATGATTGCATCTCCTCGGGATTGCGTGGCTGTATGTTAATCGAATTGGCATTGCGGGGGCGTCTTCAGCTAGAGGCTTGTGGAATGAGGCGCAAAAGTCTACTAACAAGAAAGGTAAGTGGAGGAAAATAGTCACATTTACTTTTATGTCATGCTCCAGGCAATACAGTAGCTGTAAATTGCAACTGGTTGCAAGGAAAAGACACTTTTTTTTTTTCTTTACAAGAGGGTAGGGATTCTAAGTTAGATGCACAGAGTTAAAAGTGTTTAAATGGCGAGCTGAAGTACCTTGGAAAATCTGCTGTGCTTGTTCTCTGCTCCTGTTTGCTCTCTTGAGGTGCTCCTGGCTGTCGGGAAGCTTGCACAAACAGTTGGCAGCGGCTCTGGCCGGGGTGCGGAGGCAGCAGTTACTGCTGGGAGCCAGTAGCACCAGTTATAATTTGCTGAAGGAACTGGCTGTTGCAACGTTGGTGAGATGTGGGCTGGAGCTGCAAGGAAAGGCTAACTGACAGCCTGCCAGATGTGTCCTGCAAGCCACTGCTGAAATTCTGGTGCACATAGTCTTGCAGTTTGTGCTTGCAGTTCACGGGAAGGAAGATCCCCTGTACCTTGGGCTCCCAGAATATAAAACTATCTAGTTTAAGTGTGTGACTGGTGTCTTAATTTTGTTGTACTTGCTGACCTTTAACATGGGCAAACTTTTAAGGTCCTTTATTGAATTAGGCTGGAGATTTGAGGCCTTAATTTATTACTTTTGCTGCTTGATTTTTCCTTAGTGCAAAATGTGTTTGAAGAATTTTTACTTCATCAGCATTAGAGGATACTTGTAAAATAAGCTTATTGAAAACATGGTCAAACGTCTATCCACCATAAATAAATTCTCTTTTATGGCACATTTCCCTGTCAATATTATCTTTTGCTAAATTTTTTAAAGCATAGCTTACAAATTCCCCAGCCTTTTCCCAGCTTCCTTCTCTCCTGAAGAATTGAATCTCTGTTCAGACAAACAGCACCTACTTCTTTTAGCTTCATTTTAGCATATTCAGCATTGATTAGTTTGCACACAATTTTTTTCTCCAAAGCTTTTGGCTCCTTAGATATTCAGGAATGTTCTCTAGCAGTTACTTTCATTCTATGCAACCCTTGTCATCTGTATCTGCCTGAAATTTTAATTACAGGGTTTTTAGGAAAATGGAAAAATAACCTGTGGATATTTTCAGTAAAGAGTAAAACCAAAATTATTGTCATCTTTTGTGGTTTTTTGTTTTTTATCATGTGATTTTTGTGGGGCGGTTGGCCAGTTTGTTTCTTCTTCCCCCCACACTTTGTTTAAGGTGATCGGCCTTAATTTATTACTTTTGCTGCTTGATTTTTCCTTAGTGCAAAATGTGTTTGAAGAATTTTTACTTCATCAGCATTAGAGGATACTTGTAAAATAAGCTTATTGAAAACATGGTCAAACGTCTGTCCACCATAAATAAATTCTCTTTTATGGCACATTTCCCTGTCAATATTATCTTTTGCTAAATTTTTTAAAGCATAGCTTACAAATTCCCCAGCCTTTTCCCAGCTTCCTTCTCTCCTGAAGAATTGAATCTCTGTTCAGACAAACAGCACCTACTTCTTTTAGCTTCATTTTAGCATATTCAGCATTGATTAGTTTGCACACAATTTTTTTCTCCAAAGCTTTTGGCTCCTTAGATATTCAGGAATGTTCTCTAGCAGTTACTTTCATTCTATGCAACCCTTGTCATCTGTATCTGCCTGAAATTTTAATTACAGGGTTTTTAGGAAAATGGAAAAATAACCTGTGGATATTTTCAGTAAAGAGTAAAACCAAAATTGTCATCTTTTGTGGTTTTTTGTTTTTTATCATGTGATTTTTGTGGGGCGGTTGGCCAGTTTGTTTCTTCTTCCCCCCACACTTTGTTTAAGGTGATCTAATAGCTACCTGGTATTAAAGGTTTTGTTCTTTCTCTAGCAGTTACTTTCATTCTATGCAACCCTTGTCATCTGTATCTGCCTGAAATTTTAATTACAGGGTTTTTAGGAAAATGGAAAAATAACCTGTGGATATTTTCAGTAAAGAGTAAAACCAAAATTATTGTCATCTTTTGTGGTTTTTTGTTTTTTATCATGTGATTTTTGTGGGGCGGTTGGCCAGTTTGTTTCTTCTTCCCCCCACACTTTGTTTAAGGTGATCTAATAGCTACCTGGTATTAAAGGTTTTGTCTTTTTTTTGATGATGTAAAGCAATTAAGAGATTTCTTTTTGCAGGCAGGAGAGTTCTATGAAGAAGGCTTTAATTTAAAACTCAAATGAAGATTGGTTTCTGCTTAAGTAATTTCTTGCAAATAAAACCTCTAACTGCTGGTATATATGAGATGACTTCTCTCCCTGCACCACCTCTCTCAATTTAGAAATCATTCTCATGAATGGCTTATGTGGTTTTGTTCCCTATTTGAAGTTTTGCATTAACACCAAATCTCAGTTTTGTTTCTAGATTTAAGTGTCTCAACTCTACCAAGCATTCTCCTTGTCCCCCTTTTGCAGGCTTTGCTCCCCTAGAATCATAGAATCGTCTAGGTTGGAAGGGACCTTAAAGATCATCTAGTCCAACCATCAACGTAACTCTGACCAAAAAAAAACCAACCAAAAAAACCAAGACACCACTAAACCATATTCCTGAGGACCACGTCAACCTGTCTTTTAAACACCTCCAGGGATGGTGCCTCAGCCACTTCCCTGGGCAGCCTATTCCAATGCTGGATAACACTACTGGGCAAGTGTAGTCCTGTCTCTGCAAAGAGGCTTGTTGGAGTCCCTCTTGGGTAGTTGCTGGCGTTTGTGCAGCCATGTCAGGTGACACCTCGGGCTGAGAACAAGAACTAATTCACTTCGTTGGCCAGTTTAGTTTTTACTTGAGTCACTTTCTTGATCTTGTCATCAGATGCGGCACAAGTGAGACTGCTGGCACAAGCACTAAGATGAGAACAGTAAGAGGGTAGAACTAGTTGTTCAGGCAGTGGTATGCTGTGGATTTATAACCAGCTAACTATGGCCTTGGTTATACAACTGACTTAAAAGGTTGCTAACTACAATGATTTCCACTTCAAGCCTTAAAGCAGTTGCGTCAAGATGTATTAAATCCATGCTTGAGTGCTATAGAGGGACAAAAAGACTGAAGAAACTAGCAGATGAGGGCTTCATGGACATCAGTGAAACTTTGAAATGTCAGTGTGACATATTTTATGTAGCAACATCCTCGTAATTTGGGCTTGAGAGTATGTAATTATTGCATCATTTTGGAGTTCTGTGTACTGGTATCAATTTAGAAACAAATCCTGAGGCTTACATATAAATAAAATAATTTCTAAGAATAGTGGTTGTTGAAGATAGAAAATGGTATTCTGTGCTGCCTTGCAACCTCAGAAAGCGAACCAATTCATTAGAGTTCTTAAAAGAAAGCCCAACAAGTCCGTGGCAGACTAACATTAAGTATTTAGTATTTGATTATTCTGAGTGATTCATGCATGAATAAATTTTTGTATTAAAAGTAAATAATGAAGTTTACTTCAAAATCAGAGGTGCTTAATCTTTAGCATTGTTTAATTGCAGAGCTGTGTTGTGCAAAATGCAAATTAAATATTCTGTGTAATTGAAATTTCCTCACCAGTTAGATGCAAGGCAAATCTAGTATCTGATGCATTGCTGAAAAATTGGAATAAAGGGAGATTTTTTTTGCAGTAAGCCTAAGGAACATCATCTCTGAAGGAACAGGATCCTAGCTTCTTAGTGTCATGGTGCATTGTATTCAGGCTAGCTTCCTAAACTTCTTTGCAGTGGTAGAAAAAATTACCTTAACCCCAAATAAGCAAGGAAAGCTGTTTCCTTAACTTAAAAAAAAAATCCTTATCTCCTAGACTTAAAAGAATTTTTTAACTCTTTGGTCATGTTTGGGGTTTTGGGTCTGTTTTGGTTTTTGTCTAATAAAACAGGTCAAAAAGATGACTTCACATCTTACCTGTTCAAGTGAGACAGTGAGTAGTTGGTTACCAACTCCAGTGATCCAGTGTAACTAAGGTTACTGTGAAATTAATCATAGGGGATGCTTCAAAGAAAACAAAATAGCATTGCAACTGATTTCAGTGTTGTCTAAAGACACTACGAAAATGTATTCTACTCCTCTGTTGTTTGTAGTAAGGATTATTAGAAGTACAGAATGGAACTAAAATTGGGATGTATTTCAATAGGACATTTAAAGCTTTTTCAGGACACCATTTGCACTACTGTAAAGCAATGAGACATAAGAGCTTTCACTTCCTGCTTCTTTTGTATATGTGGAATTACATTGGTGTGTTAAGTTTTCTGTCAATTGCCAGTTATCATTTTACCTGATGCTTATAAAGTGCTAACTTGTAAAACCATTTAAATTGCCACATTTAATTGTTATTTTTATAACGAGCTTTGAAACGGTAGTAATTCTTGTTTTCCTAAGGAAAGATAGGGTTTATTGTTGTTACTTTGTTTTTATTCAAACATATTGACTTGGGCTAGTTTAATCTGTGTGTTTCCATTTGGTGTTTTGATTTTGTAACCAGAAAAATGGTATTTTTAGATGGGCAAGTTGGACCGATGGGCTGAGGCCAATGGGATGAGGCTCAATGAGGCCAAGTTCTGGGTCCTGCCCTTGGGTCACACCAACCCCCTGCAGTGCTACAGGCTGGGGGCAGAGTGTCTGGAGCTGCCTGGCAGAAAAGGACCTGGGGGAGTTGGTCGATAGTGGGCTGAACATGAGCCAGCAGTGTGCCCAGGTGGCCAAGAGGGCCAATAACATCCTGGCCTGTATCAGGAATAGTGTGGCCAGCAGGACTGGGGCAGTGATCATCTCCCTGTACTCAACACTGGTGAGGCCACAGCTCGAGAGCTGTGTTTGGTTTTGGGCCCCTCACTACAAGAAAGACACCGAGGTGCTCGAGTGCGTCCACCAATGAAGCTGGTGAGGTGTCTGGAGCACAAACCTTATGAGGAGAGGCTGAGGGAGCTGGGGTGGTTTAGTCTGGACAAAAGGAGTCTGAGGGGAGACCTTATCACCTGAAAAGAGTTGGTAGCGAGGGGGGTGTTGGTCTCTTCTCGCAAGTAACAGGCAATAGGACAAGAGGAAACAGCTCCCACTTGTACCAGGGGAGGTTTAGATTGGATATTAGGAAAAATTTCTTCACCGAAAGGGTTGTCAAGCATTGGAACAGCCTGCCCAGGGAAGTGGTGGAGTCACTGTCCCTGGAGGTATTTAAAAGACTTGATGTGGTGCTGACGTACTTCATTTAGCAATAACTCGCCAGTGCTAGGTTAATGGTTGGACTTGATCTTAAAAGTCTCTTCCCAACGTAATGATTCTGTGATTCTCTACAGCCTACTTGTAAACAGACAGTTACTCAATTCTTAAGTTTTACGTTATCGTGAATATTTTTTTTGTTGTTCTCTTGTGCTCTCTTGAGGGAATGACTCAATTAATTTTAGAAGTTATTTAATAACAAACTTATATTGCATTTATTATTGCATATTAAGGGGTTTATTAGTACATACCTATTTCACGAATACATGTGTTTTAACTGGTAGTGAACACATAGTGCTGCTGGTCAGTGTGTTCTTGATAGCTGTAAAACTTAGAGATGTTGTCTTGGATGTATTATTATTCATCACTGTATGGAAGAAGAAAACCAGTTTTCCTGCTTTTTTATTTTATAATTTATTTCTCAGTTTCACATGGCATCGTTGTTTAACTGTAGTATTTTGACTATATTGATCTGAAGCCATAAAATAGACTACCATCAGAGAGTAATGAAATGCTGTAGTGTACTTTGTTTTGGGGAAGGACCTTGATGGGTTAATGGATTATCTTCTTTAAAGAATTAGATACTAAGCATGCTATTAATACTATAGTTTTAGCTAGTTAATGTTAAGGTATAGATAAGACTTAACAAAACTTTGTAATTAAAATTGTAATAGGGTTCTGTTTTTTTTTTCCACAAGAATGTATTTTTTTAAGCTTGCGTATTCCTAGAGATGATCTCTTATTTTTTTAAAATGTCCTTGGTTTTGATAACAGGTAGATTTTTCCATTTTTTTTGTTAGTGGATGTTTATGTTGTATGAAGTAAGTCAAAATACTGACTGTGTTTTATTCTGTCCTAGGTGATTTGCAAGTCAGATGCTCCTACAGGGGATGTTCTGCTCGATGAAGCTCTGAAACACATAAAAGAGACCCAACCTCCTGAAACAGTACAAAATTGGATTGAACTGCTTAGTGGTAAGCCTTGTACATAATGTATTTGCCTTTTTTTTTTTTTTTTTCGCAATAAAGCTAATCATCTGGCATCACTAGAGATTGTACTGGAAGGTTTTTGGAGAGAAAGTATGCAAAAAAGTTAATTAATCTGGCCTATAGGCTAGTCTCTTGTTGATTGTAGCCTTTAATCAAATACAAGTAACTGTTGCTTTTGACTTGACTTGATACAGAAAGGATCTAGATGGAGTGTCAGAGGACATCTCAGCTCTGTGGAAGAAGGGCCTGCCCCTGACTCTGAAGTAAATCAGGACTGCACCCTGGAGATTAACTGCCTTTCTCTGTAACTGGAAGTGAGAGTTGGTGGACGTTTGGAGTATAGGCGTATAGATTCAGTATTGGGATCTTTTGATAAAGAGATAAGGAGTTCACTGCTCAGATGGACGAATTGAGGCTGATTTGTCCATTAAGCATAAAGAAACAATAAACAGTTCTAGAACCATTCTATTTTTCCATTAAGTGGAGAAATGTAATAAATATTTTCAGATATTAGATATTCCTTATTCAAAACAAAGTCTTCAAGTACTTTGCACACAGTTCTTCCTGTAAAGCTGGTGAGTTGTTGCCCCCCAAAAAATGAAATGTCAATTAAATTTCATCTTTACAATTGCAGTTAACATTTTTCATATACCTTGCCAGCAGTTGTATCGTGAGGATGCATAAATTAAACTTCAGTTGACAATCACCGCATATCAACATGTAGTGCTTTTATTGTTTCGTTGGGTTGGGTTTTTTTTCTGTAGCTGGAATTCATCACCAGGGTTTGTCTGTTTTTACAAAACATATAAAATACAGCTTCCTTGGAGGAGATCAAAGCAGTTCTTCAGTTGTGCAAACAGCGCAGGAAGAACCCCCGCTGTTTTGTCAATAAGGTGATTCTGGGGGGTAGAGGGTAATGAGACTTGAAGCTGTCTATCTAAACCTATTTGTTACTTGTAACAAGGGATGAGTGAAAATTTCAAAAAGGAGCAGAATCTCTCCACCTTTCTCTGGCGCCTTGTTTTCCTTAAGTTCTTCTCGCTCGTCTGGTGCCACCTTAAACAGCGTTCCTTGCACATGAGTTCATGTCCCTGTCCTTGCCATCCCTCCCCTCCTGCTCCTTGGCTGTCAGGCAGGGGGAGAACAAAGCAGCCCTTGCTGCTGCATAGCCTGGCAGGGCAGTTCCTGCTCAGCATTCCTTCTCTTCTACAGCCCGTGGAAACAATGCATTTTTCTTGTCTCAAATACATAATGTGTGCTGACATTTCACCTCTCCCAGGGCAGAGCACATCAAGTTAGTACCGATTCAAAAAAGGTCAACTAATGAATGAACAATGTTATAGGTTTTATATGAGCTAATTTAAGGTTTTCCTGACCTTGCTGAGCTTTGGCTCAGGGAAGATGGTCGTCATCAGTGCTGTGGCTAGGACTTGGATCAATCATTTTTACTTGCATATGGTTATTAATTACTGGTTCTTGGATGGCATTAGGGTTCTTTGGATTTTCCATGGTTTAGAGGACTGCCCTTTGAAGAAAAATATTTTTAGTTTTTTTTCTGATAAACTCCTTAGAATTTTGCATTAGGACATGATCCTGGAAAAATAGCTACTCTATCTGTAATTATCAGTGACATGAAGAATGCTGCTGGACGTTGCAGTATGCATGAGTTCAAAGCCATCATGGGAATATTTATATTGATATGTAAGGTGACGTTTGCCAGGCTGATGTGGTTTTAAGAGGTAGGGAATACAGAAGTTTGGATGAAAACGGCAGGTCTTCTGTAGATGTAACAAATATCTCTGTGTTTGGACAAGCAGATGTTTGTGTAATTGAGGAGATTGGTCACAAGGTGTCACCACAGCACTGCTTTTTATCACTATATAGCCAATGTAGAAAAATCTAGGAAATAGCCTTTGCACTGTGAAACGCTGTAAGGAAGAGACTCTTTTTTTTGTGTGTGTGTGATAGTTTCATTTGTGGTCAAGCTGGGGAATTGCATTTGATGACCTGGGAGACCTACAGGGACTTGTGTAGTTCAGGCCTGGGTGAGTTCTCTGCCTTTCACGATACAGTTTGTGTCACCTCATTTGTTTACTTAACTTGGCTGTTACTTGAATACAGTGTATGTGACTCTCTGTCACAATGGGAGAAACTTTAGAGTTATCTGTGGGTTTTTTATTATTATTGTATGTTAACTAGTGAATTTTTAAAAGCTTTCTGAAGTAGAAACAAATTGATATAGAAATTCTCATATCATTTATAGAAAAACTCTATCTCTTTCTTCCCTCACCTCTTAAAATGCATATACTCTTCTATATGAAGAGGGGATTTTAACAATTATGATAAATACTTAGGTTGGCTGGACCTAAAACTTTGAAGCACAGATGCATTTCTCAGTGCTTAACAACTTTCACTATATTGGTAGCTGTTGATGCTGATTTTGTGCTTTTTAAAATCAGTCCTCTATGCACACACAGTCATGCATTCTGAAGGGCCGGATTCTTCTGCCTTAACAAAAAGCATTACAAATAATTTTTATAGAAACATTAAAGCCCCCACCAAACATGTGCTCATGTGTACACACACACTCCCACACTCGGACAGTGCATGGTCACTGTTTCACCTGGTGGGGGCAGGAAGGGAGAGAAGAATGAAAACCTGAAGAAACAGAGAAATGCACAAGGTAGGTGTACTTGTCCCTGTGGCAGGAAGAGAGGCAATGACAGTTCTTCCAGTCTCTGAAATGGTAAAAGGCTGGAAGCAGATAAATGCACAAGATTGGAGGAGGTGCCTATTTTTATTATTAAAAGTAAACTTTTTTTCATGAGTGTTTGGTTTTTGTGGGTTTTTTTCCTTCAGTACAAGACTGCTTATTTTTCATATCCTTAATCAAGACATGGCTTAGCTAGCATTTTATTCAAACTTTAAATGTACGCTGAAGCGCCTCCAAGGAGGCTCTCTCAGTCTCTGTCTCTGCCTGTATCTGGGTAGGTCAGAGATCAGAGAAATGCTGACATTAGAACAATACGTTAGTGTAATAGTCAGCTATATGAATTTGACAGTTCATTCTGCACCACAGGGTGGGGAAAAAAAAAAAATCACTGTAATAGTACAGCTTAAACTTTGCCTGACTGTTGGGTTTTTTTGTTTGCTTTTTTAGGTGAAACTTGGAACCCATTGAAATTGCACTACCAACTACGAAATGTCCGTGAACGGTTAGCTAAAAATCTAGTGGAGAAAGGTGTACTGACAACAGAGAAACAGAACTTCCTTCTTTTTGACATGACCACACACCCTCTCACCAACAACAACATCAAACAGCGCCTCATCAAGAAGGTTCAAGAAGCAGTTCTTGACAAATGGGTGAACGACCCTCACCGCATGGACAAGCGCTTGCTGGCACTTGTTTATTTAGCCCATGCTTCGGATGTTCTGGAGAACGCTTTTGCCCCTCTGTTGGATGAGCAGTATGATTTAGCCACAAAGAGAGTGCGGCAGCTTCTGGATTTAGACCCTGAGGTTGAATGTATGAAAGCCAACACGAGTGAGGTTCTGTGGGCTGTTGTAGCAGCTTTCACAAAATAACTGCGTTCAGACTGAAGTGTTCTCTCTTCTTTCATGTAAACCAGTTGTTTCTCTTCTATTGACTATTCATGTTTTCTGTAATTTGTACCTTCTCACATGACGAATCGGCTCTTGTTTAATGGGAATTATAAGTGGTGTATTCCCTCCTTCTCTGTGTATCTGTATACAGGATTCTGCTGGTACAAGAGACCTTCCTGTTTAAAAACAACAGAAAAAGGTTTTCCTGCCATATTGGCATTCCATTTCCTATTCAGTTTGAGTTATCTGAAATACTTTTGTTTAATCTATTTTTCATCTTATTGTTATTGAAGTGGTTTAACATGGAAAGCGCCTCAAGGAGGAAATGTGCATGCAGTTGGACCACTAGTCTCAGCTGACACAGATGTGTGCATGCATCAATACTTCTACAGTACAATTCATACAGATCAAAAAGGGCCTTTTTAAATCACCAAAGCTCCATGTTGAAGTGTCTGTCAGGACATTTTATACATGGATGTTATTTCAACTATATCTAACAAAATTACTTTAAAAGCAGAAATGCCATTAAGCAGCTTTGTCAATAGTTCCTGTAAAATGCCCCATAAATTTTACTTTCCGTGCAAGTCTCTTGTGTACTTGTATTTTCATTAGAACGATAGCTGAGTCATAAGGCTAGTATAGAAAGGTCCAATTGTTTCATAAACCAGTTTTGGGATGGGATACATTCCATTATATTGTATATATAGTTCAAATTGTATATTAACAACTGCCCCATCTGAGTATTTTGCAAGATCTACTTAGTTGTACACCTGATGCCCCTTATTTGCTGCCAGCCATTGCCACTTGATGGAAGGAGCGGCCTCCTGCCAAGAGCATGTGTGTGAAAGCTGTTTGTTTCCAGTGTCTGCAGTTTGCCATCCAGGTGTTCTCAGTCTATGCATTGCCTTTGATAATTAGTGTACGGCAAGAGACCGCTTTCTATCATTGTTTGTATGTCTGCCCCCCGGCCCCATATGGAAGAGGCTCGTGACCAGTACAAATCTTGAGTGCGGTTTTTAATTTTGTACACAAATTAATGTTTGTCTCTTAAACCTCGTAATCTATTTTACACTTTAAAAACAAAAGAGCCGGTCCTAGCAGGTGTTGCATGTAAATGGTTAGCAAGTAATGACTGCAGTTCAGATGACTAAGATTTCTGTAATGGGACGCTCTGCCATTTTTTTTTTTTATATATACAATGCTGCTGATTAGCACACTATTGTAAAAAAAATATAAAACTTTGGCTTTTTAAAATGATTGCCTCTGCCACTGCTTGTTATCTCCCATTGTTTTACAGTGTAAATATTACGCATTGAAAAAATTAAGCATTGATTTATATATTTTTTTTCTCCATAACAATACAGATTTATAGTGGGGCTTACAGGTGTTTAGAAACTTTTTTTGGTTAATATCCAGAGCAAGAATACTAGATGGTGTATAACTGTAGAGTTGAAATTTAAGGGATCCCTTAATCTGTATACTAGCTTTTTACCTACAGTAAATAAACTATGATCTTGAAAGTGCCTGAAACAGAGCGAGCATGTCATTTTTATTTTTTTGTTGCTGATTAGAAAGGTTTTATTGCTTAACTGAAAGCTTTAGTTAATATCCTTCTTATTAGAAAGGGAGAGTTTATATTGAGTAGATGAAACTGACTGGATCAGCAGTGTTGCTCAGATCTGCAGGGTTCATGGCTTGTGAGCGTGCGGCCGCGCCTGCCACGGGCAGGCCTCTTCTGGCTTGAGCACAACTGTACAGCCTCATCTGTGACTGGACTTTCAATTTTGCACTTGGTTTTCAATCATTTAGGTGCTTAAGTAGTTGACTTTAAAATACGACTTAAATTCATCATACCTATATAACCTTTTTTTAATAAAGGGTTTTTAAAATGCGATCCTTAACATTTAATGGCACACTGTTCTTTCGGTTCTTAAATGCTGTTTCTTTAGAAATATATATTGCGAGATACTTCGAACTCTGGTTTACAAATGAAAAGACAGTGTTCTCTCAGTTGTAAGATGCTATGTTAAAAACTTTGAGGAGCTTGGGCATGAACTTTGGACATTTTCTTTCAAACATTTCAAAACATGATTTCTTTAGGTGGAGGGAAAATGAAAGTTGCCGTGTTGCTCTTACATTTCACAGCTTATAGAATACTTTCTGTACAGTATATGCTAACTCACTGCTTTCGTGGCCTCCCGCTCCTGTGGTCTGTTCTCTCATTTTCTGTTAGGTGAAAAGGCCAGAAAAATAGCAGAGTATTCAGGAGCAGGTTAAGTGCACAAAACTTTGAAAGTCTAAGCTACTTGAAACATGCTTCAGACTTGAAGTATCTTTCATAGTCTATTTTCTGTCCTCCTGTCCTTCATTCTGTGAGTATTTTCCATGTTCCTCTGGGTTTCATGGTAGGTTGTGGAGGATATTGGGGATATTTGTGGAGTCTGTTTGTCACCATTACAGCCAGCTTGGTTTAAAATAAGTCACTATTTAATCCCCTCCAGAAAGAGGTTGGGTGTTTTCCTTTTTTTTACCCCCCCCTCCCCCCTTTCTTTTTTTCTCTCACATAGAAGATAACGTCCTACATTATTTATCAGCTTTATTTTGCTGAAAGATAGAAACTCTATCTGTGATGGGGAGGGTTTGTACCTGGTGCATCAGAGAACTTTGGTTTAAGTAATGAAGGTTTTGTGAAGAGCAACGGTGTCTTTTACTAGGCCACGTGGTGTAAGCAGGGGGGAGATGAGGTTTTGGAGTCCTGAGTCCTATGTTGTGCTTTAAAAAACCCAAAGCCTCATGAGTACTACTAGGCCTTCTGTCTAACGAGGAAGGTAAGTTTGGTAGGGACTGATTTAGCAAACATCCTTGCCTTCGTTGCTATCTCAGGTTCTAATAAAATGGTTGAAGATGGGAGACTGCTCTGTTCTGTTGAGATTCAGGTGCTCCTCTTCTTGTTGGCTGCTGCTGCAGCTCATGGAGACCTGGGGTTAAGACACTTGGCTGGTCTGAGTCCTCAGCTCTCAGTGTCTGCTTAGAGTGAAGACTCTCTCCATAGCCTAAACTTGAACGTGGACCTCAAGGGGGAACATACGTTATTGAGAAACATGTTCTTCAAGTTAATGTCAAAAGCAGAATTTTGAAAGTTGAATCCCAAAGAGTACGTACACATAGTTTTACAGTCCTTGAGATTTACATCCTCCTCTCCTGTGCTTCCAGAGATGAAGTTACAGTGCCCCCGTATGGGATGCTGGTGAAACCTGTGTGCCATACGCAATGCTTTTGATGCGAAAATTGCATAAATTGGCCATGAAAAGCTGGTGACTGAGTGGTCACATGTTCATGCCCATCTCTCCTACAAAGTCAAGATATGTATTGACTAATGTGTTCTCTGTGAACTGGACTGAATCTGTACTGAAACAAAATAAAGCACCCTTTCAAGCTATGACCTGCAAGTGGTTACTGCGTATCACATGCATGCGATACCTAACGAAATGTAATTTTTTTTTTTTTCATTTGCTAAGTCATTTCCAGTTTTTCATGAGGCTCTAGTCTTCACCTGTTTGGGAAACAGAACTTTTAAGATTTCCATCAAAGCCTCCGTTCTGCCTCAGCTGGGCTTCAGGCACTTCAGGTAGTCAAAGTCTGTTAGGTCACTGTTTTCCCTGATGTCCATCTGTCTTTCTGTATGGAAGGAAGGCGGTTTCCAGCTTCAGAGAAGTACAAATTTCTTGGAAAAAAACAAAAAAAATTCCTCATTTATTTTGTGGTAATTCTTCATGCAGACAACAGCTTAGTTATTGAGGGAATTAGATGCTGTCAAGTGCTTTGTAAGTGCCAGGTACAAAGCCTGATTTCAGGTGTGTGAGGAGGTGGCCTTCTTGGGTTGGAGGGGAGGATTGTTGGCTGCGGAAGAAGCATGGTCAGACCTGCTGCCCATGTTCATCTCTGAATAAGATCTGGAGTCTCCTCCCATTGGGTCTTGTTTTCTCCCGTCTACAAAGCAGCAGCGCGAAGCCTGTGAGAAGCTGACGGTAGGAAATACCTTCTGACTCAGGAGGAGAAAGCTTCTGTAAGACACAGTGAGAAGAAAAGCTGGTTCCTAGGACAATGGAAAAGAATAGAGGATGAAATGCTGATGATAGCAGCCTTTGGCTTCCCCCTCACCCCCGCACCTTTCTGCGCTTCCAAACAATTTGCTGTTTTGGCTTTCTTCTCCCTTGACTTTGGCCCCTGGTCTTCTCTCTTTTCCCCCATTGCTTGGTGACTTCCTCTTGTGTGCTGGTGAAGGTTTTGCACTGATTTCCAAGAGTGTTTCCGCTCTTGTCTTTCCATTGCTAATCTTTTTTTGCTTTCAGTTTTACAGTCGGCTCAAGCTTGACTCTCCATTGCCCTGTCCTCCGAGTCCCTTGCTCCTCTGCCTTGATTCCCCAACAATGTCTTGAGGAACCTCCCCTTCTTCACCAAATACGTTTGTCAGTGCTAGCTGCCTTGGTGCCCAAACTGGAGCAGCTGGCTGCCTCCTTATAACTCCTGGTTTCTTAAGGTGCACCAAAATTCATGCTGATTTACCCTGAAGCTGCTCTTTGGCTGCTCCAAAAGCAAGCTGTTGTCTGTGCAGCTGGGAGGACTTGCAGCTGAGCATCACGATTTGGCCAGTTCTCTGTTCCTGAGCCAGTGCTCCAAGGACTTGCAATCTCCTAGTTGAGCTTTCCCTACAGCAAGAGCATTACGTACAAGAGTAATTTTCCCTTTTGGGGTCTCTGCTTGTTAAAAAAGAGTTGAGTTTGTGTAGCAGCTCAAAAAAAGCATCGTCTCCATTTGGCTATTTTTTATGGAAGGTGTAGACACAAATTATTTGGAAGGTTTCTTCTATTTAATATGATTGAAAGGACAAGTGGGAGAGGAAAGAGGCACAGATGCATTTATTATGCGATCATAATAAGTTGGTTTCCTTACAGACTAGAATATTTTAGTTTTTCATTTTTGCTTTCTTGACTCCCAATACATCGTTAGTTCCTTCCCATCCAGTGCATCTGATGTCTGCTCAGAAAGGATTTGCCATCATCTAATGCACTGGTCCTTCAGCACTGGTCATCTGTTGCCCCTTCCTTTTGTACTTTTTTTCAAATCTTTGGTATTTTTTTCTCCCTTTGCCCTGGGATTGATCTTGAAGGGTAGGTGTTTGGAGAAGACTTTGGTGGTTGTAAAGCGGAGTGATGGGCAGTTCATAAGCGTTCTTTGCCACTGCCAGGGCGTCTTTATAGGTCCTTCTTTGTTTCCTGTCTGTTCAAATGAAACCAGATCATGTCTCAACCAGCTTTTAAAATCCTGCTCTGACTCCTTAAGCTCCAGAGGACCTCAGTCACTTCTGAAAATGAGACTTAGCTAAGTCATGTATAAGTTTTGCAATGCTAAACAGAACAACACCTACACACCATTAAAAATGTTGGGCCCTGTATTCGGAGGACTTGCAGAAGGAATTTAGCAAAACCAGACCGTTTCTCCAAGCCATCTCGCAGGAACCCACCCCGGCTGTGACAGCAAGCAGGGCCCTTGGTGGAGGAGTCATGCTAGTGCCTGAACAAAAAATTGGTCCAAGGGAGCTTCCTCTCCTGTAAAGGTCTGAGATTCCTGAGGCCATTAATCTTCTGCAATGTTCTTAATGACATTTTGGAAAGATCTTGTATGGATATATGCTTCATTACTTTCTTCCTCCCCTCCCCCCGCTGGTGAAATTGGAATTGGCCACGGGCTAGAGTCTAGGAGGACTTGCTGCCTCTCAGGTGATGTGGGAGCTGCTCTCCATCCGGACAGGCCATGAACCATAGCCATGATAGACCTCAGCGTTGGTCTCCCAGCGGTCCCCACCTCTGCGTGTGCCAAGGAGACCTTCACCAAGGGGGTGAAGAGTTTCTCTGAGCAGGGCAGAGGGGTCTGGCTGGTGCCCACCTGCCCAATCGCTGCAGATGTGGCCGGGGCTGCGTGGGAGAGGAACAGACGGAGCTCACAGAGGTTTCAGTCATCTGGGAAAACACCACGTCCTGGGGGTGAGCGGCTGTGCTTGAAACAAGGGAGTGCGTGTGACCTTCCCTCAACTGGAATACGTACAAATAAAACAGGCCCGAAATAAAATGCAATTATAAACACATTTGGAGTAACAACTGAGGTCTGTTTGTTGGATACGTTGCAAACAGGAAATGGAGCTAAATTCACTGCATTAATAAATGCCTTGCTGCAAATATGTTGCCTGATGTTAGGCCCTGGTTATTTAGAGCTTCCTTCTCAGAACCAGCTGAAGATTTATGCACATTTTAATATACCCAAATCTGAGACTTTCAGCCAAAGACATACAGAATCCCTTCTGCACGAGCAGCACTGACTCACAGGGGAATTTGTACACAGCATTTACAGACATTTAAACTAACTTCTTACATTTTCCTTTAAGAGGAAATAAAATCGTCTTTTGGTTGTACTACAGTATCCTCTCTTTTTTTTTTTTTTTTTTCCTTCTTTCAGCAGGACAGGACCTGCTGCCAAGATCACATATGGCTGACAGTCAGCACAAAGGTTGAAGATCTCTGAGCCATGAGCAGCAGAAATGTCTGGCACATTTTCATTTACTCTGCGCAGCGATGGAGAGAAGCGACCATTACTGCAGCCTTAATTGAAGCGTACCTTTAGAAGGCAATTGCTCAGAAGGTAACTAGAGGTACGAGCAGGTTGGTGACTATCCTGCTCTTAGCGTGTCTTGCAGGTAACGTTCATCAGAGGCAGAGAAAGGAGTTCAGAAAGCTGAGAGTTCCCCCTGTGGGGTTACAATAACAAACGGGGTTCGAGTCTGCTTGGTCCTCAGCTCTTTGGTTGCACAGTCAAATGAGTCCCAGCTCTCCCACATCGGTGCCTCTGAGCGGCTCAGGGCTTTGCAGATTTGCCACTTGCCGTTTTCAGATGTGCAGCCAACTGTCGAGGCTGCCCTGGAAGCTCCTCTGTTCCCAGGCTCATCTCCTCTCTAGAGGTTAGGAGCCTCGTGCCCGTAGGCTTCCCACACTCATCACTGGAGATCTAGAGGGTTTGCAATGGAGCTTGCATGTATGCTGTTTCCAGATGAGGCACTCCCACGACGAGTGTGGGAGACAACCAAGCAACAGGAAATATGGGAAAATGTTGGTGTGCACTTACTTGCCTGCACCAGAGCTTGGTGTGTGCCCCAATGGCTTGGGAATGAGGGGGGCAGCCAGTATCAGGGACTGCTCCGAGAGGCTGGATGTACGCAGATCCATAGGGATGGGTGGGACTCACCCCAAGGGGCTGAGCGTAATAGTGAGCTTCAGCTAGGAGAAGTCGTGGTGATGAGGTGATGGTGCACCTCTCCTATGAAGACAGGCTGAGGGAGCTGGGATTGTTCAGCCTGCAGAAGAGAAGGCTCCGGGGAGACCTTATAGCAGCCTTTCAATATCTGAAGGGGGCCTATAGAAGAGCTGGGGAGGGACTCTTTGCCAGGAAGGGTAATGATAGGACAAGGGGAAAATGGTTTTTAACTGGAAGAAAAAAGATTCAGATTAGACGCTGGAACAGGTTGCCCAGGGAAGTTGTGGATGCCCCCTCCCTGGAGGTGTTCAAGGCCAGGCTGGATGGGGCTTTGAGCAACCTGCTGTAGTGGGAGGTGTCCCTGCCCATGGCAGGGGGGTTGGAACTGGATGATCCTTGAGGTCCCTTCCAACCCAAACCATTCTATGATTCTATGATTCTATGACTAGGGGAAGTCCTTGGGGACTGGGATAGTGTCACGCCTGTCTTTGAAACACAGAACGTGGTACAGTCAACCTTGCCTTAAGTCCCAGCCAAGTGCAGGAAGCACAGTCTTGTGAGTCCACTTCCAAACATGTAATGGGGCAGGAAGGTACTAGGGAATGGTCAAGGATTTATGAAGTGAGAATTGGGCCTGACCAACAAAACTGCCTTCTGTGATGAAATGCTTGGCTATGGGGATGGTGGCGGGGCAGTGCGTATAAGACTACTTGGCTTCTGGGAGGCTTTCAACGCCGTCTCTACAGCACTCTTGGAAAGAAGCTGTGGGAGTATGGGCTGGAAGACTGGACTGCTCTGGGAGGTGAAAATTGGCTGGACCACTGGGCTCCAGTAGTAGGCTGGGGCTAATATTTTTCAGTAGCTTCACCAGCCACCTGCGTGGAAAGACAAGGTGCATCCACATTGTGGATGACAACAATTTAGGGGAGAGTGGTTGACACACCGGATGGAAAAGCTTCAATTCAGAGGGACTCAGAGAAGTTTGACACTGTGACAAGAGACAACGTGAGGAAGTTCAGCAAGGAGAAGTGTAGAGTCCTGTACTGGGATAGGAAAAAACCCAATGTACTGATGCAGGCTGGGAGCCAAGTGAGAGTGGTGCTGCTGGAAGGGATATGGACCGTGTTGAATGTG